CCCTGAGTCCGCTGGGAGAAGGGCGGGGTAGAAATTTAATAAATTCAAATTCAAATTCAAATCAAGTCGATTTGAATCACAATTTAAATCATGATTTAAATCACTAGTAAAAAGGCTTGATTTAAATCAACTTGATTTAAATCATAATTTTTAAAGAGCAGCTGTCATCTCTGTCCCGCAGCGACTCCTCCTCTGACTTGCTGTTGACTCACCGACAGCCCCATTCACTTTAATAGGACGGTTGGTGATGCAGCAGTGACACAACAAGGTGAGGGACGTGGCGGGCAACAGGTGAGTGGATGCCCGCTAACAGGCGCTGCCATGATGGATCTGAAATGACAGGTGCTCTTTAAATGTAAGGACTTATTCTTGCTGGTAGTTAGAATCTTTAATATTATTATTTGCAAACAAAATGAAGGTTTCCTATTTAGAATAATAAGTTATCAGGTTAGTAAAACAGTGATACCAGAATCGATGTTAGGTTAATCTCACATAGTTGGAGAACTACTCAAATTCTTTTATTTAATTAAAACACTTAGAGCCTGGTACAGATGCATTTCTCTTCAAACAATCATACAGTTTGTAGTGTACATAGATTTACAAAACAATGGGATAAAGGAATATTCCTGAACTTTGTTTAATGATTAATCTCATGGTTACTGTGAAATTGTGTGAATTCATCAATGCAGGGCATGTTATCTCAGCTTGCAGAGCTTGGATTCATTGAATGAGTTTACCAAAATGTAAATATTGCAGACTATACAGCCTCATGCTACATAACTAAGCTCCATTTCATACTGAATAAACTAAATTATTAATGCAACTTAAATAGAAAACTATATTTAGATTTTTACTCCAAAAGCAATTATTAAAATAAATTTGATAAAAATTAAAAAAAATCAGATTTGAATTAAAAAATCTGATTTTATTTATTTATTTTTTTAAAAAATCATTGATTTTTATCCATTTGAATGTTACATTATCAATAATATACTTGGCAATATATCAGGCAGCTTGTTCAGGCTTGCATCTTAACCTTAATCAAGAACTCTTTTCCCCAAGCCATATGGTTAATATTTTTGAAAACAAGATATACCATAAAGGATATTATTCAACAATATAGCAATCTTCAAGGATAAACACTAAGCACAAAGGTTTTTTTTTGTCTATGCCAGTGGCTCCCAACCTTTTCTATACCCCGCACCCCTTAGAACGCTTCTGATATAAGAGAGAGAGAGAGAGAGAGAGAGACTGACTTACAGCAGTTCATTTAGTAACCATTTGATGTTACAATGGCACTGAAAAAAGTGACTTATGACTGTTTTCACCCTTACAACCGTTGCAGCATCCCCATGGTCATGTGGTCAAAATTCAGATACTTGGCAACTCATATTTATGATAATTGCAATGTCCTGGGATCATGTGATCACCTTTTGTGACCCCCCCCCTTACAAGCAAAGTCAATGGGGAAGCCAGATTCACTTAACAACCATTACTAACTGAACAACTGCAGTGATTCACTTAACAACTGTGGCAAGAAAGATTGTAAAATGAGGCAAAATTCACTTTACTGTTTTGCTTAGCAACAGAAATTTTGGGCTCACTTGTGGTTGTAAGTTAAGAACTACCTGTAAATCCTTACCAGCCTTAATCTTCTTACAGATGGATACACATATTTGCTTTCTGATATCAATTTTACAATGGAAGAAGTTTGCTCCAACTGAATGACTTTGAGTAACATATGCGATCTGCTTTATCTGACTTTTCAGAAAGTCCATCTTCTATCTAATCTTCCGTTTATTTGAATAATAAATGCTAATTTTCAAACGGAAAATTTAATTCTTTGTTATGAAGTTAGTAACAAAGTTAATAATTTACATTAAAACATGGCTTTGATTCACATATATTAACTCATAAAGTAGTTTGGTTTTGGTGTAATATATGTGAATTATCTTCTATAATTTGTAACCGAAGGATACTTTCTTGGGATGGATTTGCATCTCTTACTCTTAAAAACAAACCACATTGTAGAATAGTATTATGTAAAATCAGGCACTGACTATCACTGAAAATTGTCATTAGAAACATAGAAAACTGATAACAGAAAAAGATCCAATGGTCCATCAAGGTTTTTGTTCGTTTTTTATTTTCTTTTAACTTATTATTTTTATTTATTTACTTATCTATTATTATTTTTTTTAAAATGTTGTTGTTAGTAGACTGACTCCCATTAGAAATCAGATTGGCCCGTTTTAGCTTTCATTTTTGGAGAGTCTTTGAAAGATGAATTGATAGAACTCACTTTATTTTTATTTTATATTTTTAAGTTTATATTATGGTGATTATATTTATATTGTAATTCATTGAACTTGATCAAAATATGTGTACTATTAAATGCCAAGAGACTGCAGTTAGGAGTGGTTATAAAACTAAAGACTCAATACATATGTTTTAATAAGTGCATTGCTGATACTTAAAATCAATCTGATTACAGTAATCCATAGACATGGTTACCCTCCTTGATTGCCCATGCCAACAAGTAACGGTACCAGCTTCGGAGGTCATAATGATTACTCTTCATTCCTTGACTTCGGATTCAAGTGAGCTAATCCCGAAAAAGAGAAAGAGCCGATTGTTATAATTTCCCTAAAGAACGGTGGGAGGGAGAAACAGGCACCGGCTAATCTCGACTGTCCTAGGCACGATGTCAATGAGAAAAAATATCAACATCTGCAGCTGCTTCGTGCTTGGGATGGATTTATATGAGACACTGATACAAAATGTGCAAACCGCAGTTGCGCACGGAACAGCCACCTCTTTTTCCAACTTTGCTTTCGATTCTTTTTTTAAAACACTCCTCCTCCCCCTTCGCATTGAACAATTCTCCTTAGAGCTACGAGAGGAAAGAGCAGAGCCTGTTTCAGGAGATGAAAACGGCAGGCGAAATAGGAGAGGCAGGGGTGAAAATCTGGGGACAGGGACCCTTTTCGAAGGGAGGTGAGGACCTGGCAACACTGGAGGAAGGGAAGGAGGGAAGAGTGTGAGGATGCAATCGTTGTCATGCTCGACTCCCTCCAGCCCTAATAATGGATACAGGTCAGATTTTCTAATCTCTTAGAAGGAAAGCATCTCGCGGTCGTCGTGGAGCCCAGATCAAATTCTCGGTCCAGCGTTTCTTCTTAAGATAATATCCATCTAACATGGAACTGGGGGAAGGGACGAGGGAACCGACTGTAGAAATGGAAGAAGAGAAAGAGAAGGACAGAAGACAGCAATGGGCGGGTGCATAAAACCAGGGGAAACGCGGAGCCATTGATCTCGGCTCCCCCTCCTTTGCTCCTTACCGGTTCCTGGGTTTGACGTTTTTACACCTGGGCGCTTCCACCTCACTCCATTCAAGCTACGCGCTGCAGCCGCCTCTCCCTCTTTCGGCGCACCGGACGGAGTGAGGCAACGTAGGAGGGGGTAGGGATAGAGGAGGCGGTTACGCTGGACTACAAGATGGCGGCCCCCCGAAAGGAGGTCGAGCTGCCTATCCCGTAAGGAGCTCGTCAAACTGCTTCTGCCACCCCCGTTTGTTTTGAAACTACGATTCCCATCGTGCAACAGTGGGGCGGGAACAGCTCCTTCCATTCCTCCTCCCCCTTGGAAACGCCCCTCGAGCGAATCTGAATCGCAGAGCACTATGGGGCTCGTAGTCCTTAAGTGGGAGGCGCTCGTGCTGGTCTCCTCCGCCGGTTTGGACTCCTTCGCAGTTGCTCGGGGGGGGGCGGGGCCTGAAGTTTGAGGGGCCTGGGGAACCGTCGTCGGTCGTTGTGTTCTGAAAAAGAGCTGGTGGAGGGCGGACGGCTCCCGGTCTGCTTTGGGGTACTGGGGGGCGTTTGCCCCCCCCCGACACTTCCCGCCTCTGCTCATCGAGAAGCGGGCAAGCAAGGCACGCGCACCCCAAATCAGCCTAATTCGCTCGGGGGTGATTCTGCTCTGGAGGAAGCCCCAACGAGGCGCTATGGGGCAGAGTTCCTGGTAAATTCGCAGAAGGTAACAGACGCAAGTTGAGGTCGGGCCGGGTGTAAAGGAAAAGAGTCCGTGCAAAATGGGAAGAAACGAGCGTACGTGTGGAATAGGGAGGCAGGACGCCCAAAGTCACCTCCCCACGCAGTTCCTGTAAGAGGGAAAAGATGAAAACTTTCCTAGTTGCTTATTATTCCGGCTGAATTAGTTTTGACTCAACTGGGAGAATAAAGTGGTTGCGTCTTTCTAATGGTTTATATCAGTGTTTCTCAACCTTGACAATTTTAAGGCATGTGGACTTCAACTCCCAGAATTCCACAGCCAGCATTGCTGGCTGTGGAATTCTGGGAGTTGAAGTCCACATGCCTTAAAATTGTCAAGGTTGAGAAACACTGGTTTATATCATGCACTCTGACAAAACTTGGGAGAAGTTTATGTTGCTTCTCTAGGCTGCCTATGCGAGAATCAAATACTCGAAAGGCTTTGATTGGATTTTGAAGGTTCTACGTTCATAGTCCTTGCTGGAAGATTAGCACTAGTATTTGTTAGCGTTAAGATGCCTAGCGTGATATAGCTTGGATCCTATATGCAGCTTGATTACAAGTATTTTTATTATAAGCTAATTCACCTGTCTGCATTTAGCTCAACAAACAGTTCAACCGTTTAAGCAAGACTGACATATCTTTCTGTTATGGATTGAGTTGTCCCCTGCATCTTTCTAATACATTTGAATGATTTGAATATTGACCGTAAGCATCTGACTTACTCCTTCTGTGTTCCTTCATCCTTATTTTGTGGTGGTTTGTATTTGTAATAATTTTTTTATTTGGGGAGGGGGAGTGGGGTGGATAACTCTTAAGAGTTTGTTAAAGTTAGAATCTATTGATGGCTATAATTCCTGACTCTTGCTTTTGTTAGCTAAAATGGATGATGCACTACAGATTGAGAAAAGCTTTTCTAATAAAATTAACATGTTCATCTTTAAAGCATAAATATTTTTTTCTTCTGTTCAATCATGTCTGATTCTCAGAAACTGCTTGGACAAGTCCCTGCAGTTTTCTTTGCAACATTTTTCAGAAGTGGTTTACTATTGCCTTTTTCCTAGGTTTGAGTAAAATGATAGCCCAAAGTCACCCAGCTAGCTTTTCTGCCTAAAGCAGATTTCCTGGTTTCTAGCCTGATGCCTTAACCATTTCACCAAGCTGGCTCTGAAAAGGATATACACCAGTGGTGGCGAACCTATGGCACGCGTGCCAGAGATGGCACTCAGAGCCCTCTCTGTGGACATACCTGCCGTCCCCCCAACCCCGCCTCCACCCACAGCCCCCTCCTCACCAGCAGCCCCCCGGAGGAGAATCGCCCCCGGGCGCGGTCCACGCAGAACAGTGCAGCCAAGGACATGGCAGCCGGGCAGCGGGGACAAGACTCCGCCCTCGCTCCCCGTTGCATGCAGATAATGCGGGGTGGAAGGCGTGGCTGCCATGGTGTTGCGGCGGGCCGTGAAGGCAGTGGGTGGCCCTGCGGGCAGACGGGGGCAAGGAAGGGGCAGGCAGAGCAGGGAGGGCGGGGGCAGTTCTTGGGCACTCGGTCTCTAAAAGATTCGCCATCACTGATATACACAATCCTTTTTTAATGGAAGAATCTGTGATCTTACTAAGGGGACAATATGGGTAGGTTGTAGTCAAAATAGAAAGTATGCATGTTCAGATTAAAAACCACGCTTTCTAATACCCCTCAGTTTTTTTTAATATATTGATGTTTTCCACCTGTTCATTTACTCCCATCTTAGCTAATAATATTAAAACAATAACTTACAGAAAATCTTTGGCATTTGAGAAGGCAGGATTTTGTGAGATGATGACTTAGGTATATGTGTGCAAACTCTGAGTTTAAAATCTTCCGTATTTTTAAAGTCTTAGTATACTTTGTTTAAAGGGAAACCCATTAAAAGAACTGCAAATCTCGTTGAGAAGAATATTACTGCGTTGTTTGTGTGATGAAAAGTCAGTTGATGCAAAGAATTTAGGAAATGATTTTCCCAGCGATCATTTCTGGACATACAATTTTATAAAATATGTCTATAGAAAGGAATAGTACGTTTTTTTTTTAAAAAAAGTGGTTGCTCAAATAATATGTTTGCATGATTTGTTAATTTGACATGCAATCATAAATATATAGTATATTGTCAGTATGTCAAATCACAACCAATTGTGCCTCATTTGTTAAGTTTGACAGAGTGTTACATTTTAGTAAAAAGAAATGTAATGCCAGATCATTATCAGCACTAGAGTTAAAAGGAGGTGGTGACCAGCTCTCTTGGTGTTGTTAATTTCCCTACTCTCCAAATGTACTTACCTCCAGTTTCTATCATATTAAAAAGCAGCAGAAAGAAACCTTTCTCAATTTAGTACAGACAAGTGGTGCTATGGTTAAGTTTTGTAAACCTTATAAGCTATGGGTACCAATTGTGGTTAAATCACTGTCATGGTCACATGGACATGTGATAGATCAGTCTTAATACAGATCATATAAAGAAAGCCCAATATTTTCTTCTTGTTATTTGTTAATATCATTGGACTGAAAAGGCTTCTGATAACTCCGATAATGCTTGAATATGATTTTAAATATTTTTGATGAGTTGTGCTAGGGATCATTAATTCTGTCCAGAACACTATATGCTGGAGGATTTCTGTGGGTGTTTATGGCCAAAGAGGAAAAGAGACATCTTTGGTTGATACCTGGATGTTGAATGTATTGTAATCTTTAATATCTTAATGTTCTATTTCAGAATAAATGGATTAACATGATATTTTCCATGAATTAAAACAGTTCCATGTCTTGTTTGGTAAGCATATATTTGTTTTAATCTTTGAAATCTAACACAGTTATTAAGTTTATGCCTATATTACATGCATGTTGAAAATATAATAGATATAAAGAGAATAAGATTCTTTTGTCCACTGCAGAGCATTGCAGAGAGAGGGTCAGAACTCTGGTTCACTTTCCAGAATGAAAGCTTTAAAATAGAATCTTCTTTGAACTGTTAGATTAATATAGCTCCAAATTGTGTTTTAACGCCTCCTCTTACATCTTAATATACATTAAAATGATTATTACATCTTAATATAATGTTCCGGTTCAGGCCCCACAGCAAGTTGTTGTATCCCAAACTAAAGATTACAGGGATAAAATTAATAATTGGAAGGGCCACTTTACAGGGTCATAAAAAGGGAGTTACTCGGATGTTTTAAGTCCAGCATCTCTCTTATTTATGTAGCTTTGAATTCAGAGAACTATACTGTAGTTTTGAAAAAGTATTTAATCATGATTTTTCAAAATGGACTCTTAGATGTTCCTAAACCCACCAAGATGACCACATTGTTTGGAAAGGGTTCATTTCTTATTGTGTATTGACTTTAATTCATTATTACTATGCAGTGAGATTGCAGTTTCATATCATAACAGACGAGTATAGATTAGTGAGTTACATTTTAAAGGCTTTATTTCTCTACTTTCAAATTTCTTTTAGGACTGTTCCTGTATTCTACGGACACGAGTTGAATCCATTAGAGTAGAAAAGCAATTGGAAAACATCAGTAGTCAAGACTTGGTAAGATAAAATTCATCTCACCTTAACAGAACCAGTATTATGTTTCCTATCACAATCGTGTCTACACTTGTGATAAAATGTCACTTGGCAATCCTGACTGTCCCCATTGCTGTTGTTAAACGAGAATCACGGGTCATTAAGAGAAGACCTCCTCGCAACTTTCTGCTGGCTTCCAAAAATCTAAATCAGTGGGGAACCCAGCAGGAAGAGGCAATTCACAAGTGACTTGCAAGCAGGCTAGCAGGCAGATAAATTGCTGTTGCCAGGTGGGAGAGGATGTATGGGTGATAGCAGTGGCATGCTCAAATAATTTGAGGCCTGGGAATGGTTGTTGCAGGATGGGGCAGACTTACTCGAGTGACTTGCGACCTTTTCTCCTGGCTTCCCCATTGATTTTGCTTGTGGGAAGCCAGCAGGGAAGGTCAGAAATGGTTATCACATGACTGCTGGGCACTGCAAATGCAAGCTGGTTGCCAGATCTCAATCATATGACTGTGTGACAGCTGTAACTTTGAGCACCAGTCGTAAATACCACACATTTAGCACCAACTTCAAATGATCACCGAATGAATGGTTAATAAGTGAGAACTATTTATATATTAGAGAATTGTAATTACATACCAAATACATTTTTTGTCCTGTAGAGTATATGGTAGCATTTTAAATAGGATATGTTTTTTAGTATTTTGGTTTTAATGGACTTACATTGTATAATATTTTGAGTGAAAAGGATTGCCTGGCTTTTTTCATGGATTGGTTGATGGAGTGAAAGGTGTACCGTATCTAATCAACCACATAGGGTTCTTTAGAAATTAAATGCACTGAGCTTGATAAAAAAAATCACACCCCAATTAAAGAAGTTCTTGCCATCAAAAACCAGACAAAATTAAAAACCAGTTGGTGCTTTTGAAATGATACATGGACAGGAATATTGACAGATTTTCAAAATTTATGTGAAATGACAATATTTTAAACAATAAAAGTTAATAAATATTTTTGCTATTCAGACAGATGAACTTGCTGTATGTTGGAGTCAATCAGCTCAAAGAGGAGATGAACAGATACCATGGTCCTCTGATGTATCACACTATGATCTCCAGGTGGAAATAGGTGATTGTTTTGTAATGGAAAGATGTTCCTATTTTGTCTTAAGTGAGAGATCTTTAGTGTATACTTGAACTGAAGATATAGATCAGAAATTTTACCCTTTGCCATGCCCTGCTAATAGGTCTGAGATATACTTTAGTTTTATCTTGTATTTTACAATCTATTTCCATTTAACTTCTTGTCTTGCCTTTGATTTAGTAAGTCTTGATATTGGTCTTTTTTATTCATGATAGCTTCAGTAGTATAAGGATAACTTACATTGTGGAATTGTGTGTGAATAATTGTTGTTCAGTTGCAATATCTATCACCTTTTTTTTAACCAGAAGAAAATGCATCTTTGCATTCTTTTTTGTTGCCTCAGATCCTACTTGAGTGAATAAGATTGGAATATTGCCTCTTCACGATGGTATTACACAAGCATCTTTGTATGTTATTAGCACATGGTGCTGGTAATTGGTATGAAGATATCTGTTATGCTAATGAGCTGCTTAAGATTTATTTCAAATGAACTTCAATTGGTAATCCCTATTAAAATACCAATTTTGATTCTCATTTCATTTTTTTGTACATTATTGCCTTAAACATTTAATATGCTATACCAATATTCATTGATCTGAATACTTTGTAAATTTCTAAATTGCACTTGGGGTCTATTATTTGATAGTACCCAGAGCATAATACAGTGACTATTCAAACTTATAATGGTGCTGAAAAATTAGATGTTTGATTGGCCTCAAATTTATGGCCATTATAGTATCCCCATAGCCACATGCTCACAATTTGGGTGCTTCACAATTGACTTGCATTTATAACATCCCATGGTTACATGATCACCATTTGTGAGCTTCAAAGCTGGCCCCTGCCAAGTAGAGTCAATGGGGAATCCAGTAGGAAGTTGCAAGTTGCAATCACATGACATTGTGCTTAATAACTGGGGATGATTCACTTAACAATTGCATGGAATTGACATAAGTCTGATGTGGCCATGTGATGTTTCACTTAATGACTGTACTGCTTAGCAACAGTTGCCAGTCCCAATTGTGGTCATTAAAGGAGGACTACCTGTAATCTTTTTAAAACTGCTTTAGATTGTTTCAACTAGGAAATAGCTTTCAGAATCAGATTGTTGTCTTCTAGTTCAAGTCAGATATTTAGGTTATGCTTGCTTTGAAAGGTGTTCTTTTTCACAATAGTTTAAGAGTTTGTGAGTCATAAGAAAATTTTATTTATTTATTTACTTTATTTGTATATCATCCATTCCAAAAGATTATGAGTGAATTAATTAGAATGTTAAGTGGTATATTACTTTTCTTTATAGGAAAGGGATGCAACAACTTAACTTCAATCTACCTCGCCCGTCATATCCCGACAGGAACACTGGTGGCTGTAAGAATTACAGATCTGGAAAAATGTTCTGAAGAACTCTTAAAAGCTTTACAAGTAAACATGATTTTAAACTTGATATATAATAAGTTGAGACTTTTGCCTGTATCCCCATATTCCTAGTAATTCTAGATATGCAAAGAAATCCAGAAATATGCTCATGCAGATTTCATGCAGTTATAGCCTTCTCAAGTAATTTCAGTTTTATATTTCTGACATAATGAGCCATCTATTTTTTCTGATTCAAGGATTGTTTTCAGATCATTAGTGCCTTATTAATGAGGTAGGGTAAAAACTAGGAGACTGTGAGTTCTAGTCCTGCCTTAGGCACAAAGCCAGCTGGGTGACCTTGGGCCAGTTACTCTCAGCCCTAGGAAAGAGGCAAGAGTGAACCACTTCCAAAAAACTTTGCCAAGAAACTTCAGGGACCAGTCCAGGCAGTCATCAGGAGTCAACACTGACTTGAAAGCGCACACACACACATATTGTCCTATGGCTAAAACTGTATGGAGTATTTCCTGTCTTTTAGATTATTAGAACATTTTTTTCTTTCTCTAGAATGAGGTGATATTATCCCACTTTTTCCGACATCCAAATATCTTGACTTTTTGGGCAATGTTTACTGCTGGAAGGTGGCTTTGGGTTATTTCCCCTTTCATGGCTTACAGTAAGTACTCTGCTTACAAAAATATATCCTTATTTATTAAATTCTTTCTGCACATGCAGAGCAATTCAATTTATTGGTACCTAGTTTGTGCAATCTTTTATATTTCTAAGTGGGACAATTACTTAAAAAGGAAACCATTGAGACCATCTTTTGAAACAGAATTGCTTCAGTTGTGGGCTTTAGAGGCCAGTGCTAATGTGCTTCTTTGATCATATACATCTATATTCTGCCCAGGAGCTCTTCTTGAGCTTCTTTTGAAACATTGCAAAAGATCAATGAATTTGATCATCCTAATTATGGTAGAAAATATCTGGGCCAGCCCTGACCTTCCTATATTTATAAAGATATTATGAGGA